TGTCTTTTAAGAAAGGATTTCAAGTATGACACTGACTCCACCAGCCTCATTTCCTCAGGCAGGTCATTCCAGAGAATTGTTGCCCTGACTGCAAAGGCCTCTCTCCTTCAGGTCAGGTCTCTGGACCAGTGAGAAATGGCTTTTGCTCGAGGATCTCGAGCTACAAAGGTGCATGTGGAATTAAGAGGTCAAAAATACACAGGAGCCAGGTCATGAAGTGCTATGAAGGTCAACCAGGAGCCAGTGTAACGTGGCTGAAACAGGTGAAATAAACAGGTGATTTAGCCTCTAAATTAAAAAAACAAGGAGATAACGTTTGGATTTATCTGCCATGTATGATTGTGATGTTCAGTTTCTTGCATTGGAGCCTGATGCAAACCAGCTCTCTCACTCGTCTGCAAAACTTCTCCTTCACCTGTGAAATTCCCAAAGTACACCTCAGTTTCTGTGTTTGCCGCTTTGAAACATTCAGCTGCACACTGGACTGGAGTGTGTGCTAATGTGCGTGTGAGGATATTTTGGCCAGTCCTCACTTCTTCTTGCAAAGGGCTGTTTGAGGGTTGGACCAGGATTGGGTTTAGGTTTAGGTTTAGGTGAACGTGTGATTAGGGTCTTGAGGGTTAAGACTCGGTCACTGTTAGGTTGGGAATGGATAGGGTTAGAGATTTAGTTGTGACAGTTAAGGTTAGGGTAAATGGCTATGGAATGCACTGTGTGTGTGTGTGTGTGTGTGTGTGTGTGTGTGTGTGTGCGTCTGTTGCATGCAGGCGAATCTGGGTTTATTTTAGAGATACACAGAGGGGAAAAAACATGATTAAAAAAGTTGCATGTTTGGACCAACTGGACTGGAGTGTGTGTATAAATGTGTGTTTTTGTGAAAGTTTAAAGAAACACACAAAGAAACGAGATAAAGAAAAAGAAGGTGTGTGTTGGCACAGAGAGAGTCTGCCCTAACAACATCCACTAAACTTTGAATCCCTGTGGCTAAAGGTGTGTAGGAGCTGAAATGCAGTATCAGTTAAATCCAACATGATTGGTTTATTTGTTTCTACAAAGGAATTATTGTGTACGCCTGTGTATTTCTGCATTACACGTAGTCTGCGGTAGTGTAACACGTTCGGCAGTGACTAATGTGCTTCATGAGTAAGGTAGCTGGGCAGTTTCGATGAGGCTTTATCATGCATGATGTATGATAAAAATCTACCTGTGAAAAAGAGACAAAGAAAGAAACAATTCCACTCATATCTATGGTCACACGTCTGCAGTGGGTTTGGCATATTGATTAAACTGCTCCAAAAAGCTTCAGAAGTTTATTTTGAAATCCAGCAGAGTGAGAGTGGTTTGAAAAATGAAATGACCACACTGTTTGTGGATGGATGGAACAGCTCTGCCTCAGGCACCGACCGTCATGGTGGTGAATATGAAAAGGCCTCTTGAACTGATTAACATGCGTGTGCTATGTGCAGTACATTTGTAAGGATGGTGGTGGTAATAGTAGTATTAGTCCGTATTATTATGAAATACACACAATCACTAGCTGTTGCTCACAGCAAAACCTGTCTAACACAAATACGAACCCTGACAAGCTAGTGCCCCACCCTGCCTCTCATTTGGCACCCATCCAGAGGGAGTGGTGAGGGTTGGGCCATGTGCTTTGGGTACATTCAGAAAACACTCCCGCCTCAGGAATCGTTGCTGTATCTGTCTCATCTTTTAAACCTTTTTTCAAAAGTGTTTCCTGGAAACATCTGGTTTTCTACGTGGCATCCTGTCAGAACACCTCACATTGTTGTCCTCATGCAGATGGACTACTCCAGAATAGATTTCCTAACATCACATCGACACACCTGCAATTCCTTGGACGCCCAGACAATCAAAACAAGATATAGAGGAATGGATGACTTGACACTGCAATGACGTTAAATAAATTGGAAGGAGAATGAATCATCATTTGGTTTACTTTGAACGCAGCTATTCAGCAGAAAAAGAATATTATGAAACATCTATTTTGTGACTTGTTTTCCCGTAGTGTCAGTAAGGGGGGGGGGGGGGGGCTGCTTGTATTTATACTGTGTACTCTGTACACACACTGAAGCCTGAGTGCAAACAACCCACCTTCCTTTCCAGCTCCGGAGACATGCGGGGGTTATTTTGCTGAGTCTGTCTTGCATTTAGTGTTGGGACTCCTTGCCCTGAGCCCTTTCATTACATCCACGCCCATGACTCAAACATCAACGCCGTCTTCCTGACATTTTTCTCACCTTTCCTGTTGCAGACTCACTTCCCATAGCACTTTTGAACAACAACTCCTGCCCCCTCCATTACAGCAGACCCGCATTTTAAAGGACACACAGCCCCAGTGACATTGGCTCTGGCCACTTTTATCAGCAGTTTATAGAGATAGCGATGTCTGTCCTGTGGGAGAGGAGCCTCCCCCGCTCCAGGCTTCGCTCAGCTCACATTCCTGTGGCGTTAACCGAGTTCTCTTCCTTCCAAACGCCTCAGAAGAGAGAGAAGGGGCCTGCTGGGGTCAAACTCTGTGTAAACCTGGGCGAGGCTTCTTGAGCCAGATACTCTTGAAAAACAGGCAGGCGAAATAAATAACCAGAGGGGAGAAGGCCGACAGGAGATAACTGCTAATGAGGCCGAGCACCATATTTGAAAAGCACCTGCTCGAGTCTTAACAGAACGATGATCGCCTGAATACTGAAGACTTGTTCTTAGCCCTTTTTTACAGGCATCTGCATCTCATATGGTGCAGCTATAACTCATCCATGGGAGATTTCATGGTGTCTGTTTTTTGTTCTGGAACTCTTGCAACAGTCTAAAATTGATCACAGCCAGTTGGGTGTTGCAGAAGACTTGGGCAATGTTTCCCCCTGCTGGCAGGAAACACACAAACATTCCCACATACACAAGTTTATATATATGCAAATTTACAGGGGTTTGACGTACTCAGGATCAGCACAATAGCAGCCAGTGATAGTGCCACAGCCGAAAGGTGCAGTCGCTGGGGATCTTCCAGATCTGGGTGGAGCAGTCAGGGTGTGTCTGCGCGTTGAGTCACTTTGCGAGGAACAGTCCGTGCGTCCTCCTGCGGAACATAAGGTGTTAGGACAGGAGCTTTCATCTTTGCTGGGGTTCTCTGCGGCAAAACATACACATCATCTGTCGCCTTCTCTCTTTACCTGGAGTCCGGCTTTCGGCTCCGGACATTACACATTACAAAAATGGCTCAAGCTTTATTATTCACCTTGTGCGTAATGTTGGTGAGTACTTGAACTTTCTTTTATTGATACAACGTAACAAATGTGTGTTTTGTCAGCTGTGAAAATAAAACAACGTGTTTATTTGAACTGACACTTGAAGTTGAAACTAAGTTTAAACGCGGATGTGAAAGTAACCGACTGTTCTCCAGATCCTTCCCCGTGTGGAGTCGTGTTTCATCCCGGAGTATCTCTACGTGGTTGTGCCGCAAACTGTTCTGCCCCAATACGAAATCACCAAAGGTTATTTTACTGATTATTTCTTATCGATCAGTTTGAATCCGCTGCACCGACTTTAAAGAAAAAAAAAAAGAAAAAATCTCATTTTTTCCTTCCCGGTGTTTTGACAGTCGATGTCTCAGACTGCGACAGAAGCACCGTGCGGATCACCGTGACGGACCCGAGCTTCACAGTGAAGTCGAGCGGGGCGATAGTGGCTTCCACGGCCGTGTACGTGGGAGGCAGAGGGCGGACATTTTCTGTCTGGGCCCAGGACGACGCGGGGCCGGGAAGTGAGATGGAAGTTCACCTTGTGCACAGCGATCTTCAGCGGCCACAGGTAGGACCCCACAGTGAGATCAGACTGATCATTATACCTGCTCTGTGTGGACCCCAGCAGTCATGGCCCCCCTCTGCTTTCTGTGCATGTCACTGAAGAATGATCAACGCTTCCTGAAGCGCTCCAAGAGACGGTGGAGCCCCCCCCCCTTCAACATATTAGAGAATGACCCCGGGCCTTATCCCAAAGAGATAGAGAAGGTAAACCTCACGTTGACAACACATCACTTTCTCTATTTTACTTTTACTAAATACTTTTAGGCAATACATATATTGTGATTCACACACTCGGAAACACGTGTCTATCCTGTGGTTTATTTGTCAGTGGGATTATGCACAAAACTATGCAACACATTTCCACCAAAGTTGCGTAAGCGGATAAAGTTGCGGAATAGATTTTTCTTATTTTGTATTGTATTTTTCTAATAAATTCCTGAAACGTTTGAATTAACTGAAAGTTAGTTCTAATGTTGACAACAGAAGCAGTGCCTCAGCTTCACACCACATAACACACTTAGTCCACAAATTCCCGCTTTGACTTTTGCTGCACTTTACTTTCTCACTAATCTGCCACCCAGATTTTCTGATTCACACATTCAGACACATCTCATAATTACAAGAGTTTCCGGGAAGAATATAATTTTAGTGCATATGTGAATTAAGGAGCTTATCTAGGAAATGTTTCAGTTTTTAGTTTTATGTTAAATAAATTATTGCTATAAATGGTAAATGGATTATATTTATATATTGCTTTATAGTACAAGTCTTATCCATTCATGCACAGATTCATACAACGCTTTTCTCTATGACACCATTCATGCACTGTGTGGGGATCAATCCACTGACCTTCTGTTCAGTGGACGACCCTCTCTACCTCCTGAGCCGCAGAGCCAAAGAGGAAGAGACAATCGTGTTGCATTGTTTGTGGAATAATGCAGCAGTTCAATTTAGATCATTTTCCACAAGTTCCTCCACATTTTGCCATTAACCACGATGGACGACTTATGAATAGCTGAATGCTTGTTTGTTGTTTACTGGAACGCGCATGGATTTACGTGGTTTCTGTTGCAGATTGTGTCTGATTCTGAAGCCATACAGGACGTGTACTACACCTTCAGCGGACCCGGTTACAATGAGCACCCAGTGGGAGTGTTCACCCTTGACAGAATCTCTGGGATGTTGACTGTGCACAAAGCAGTTGATCGTGAGGAGTTCCCGATGTTTATAGTGAGGGAGAGATATTTTAATGATCAATTATTGTTTGGTCTGCAAAACATCTAAATGTCCATGTTTATATTCTAAAACTTAAGGAGGTTTCATGGTCCAACCAACTGAAAAAAACAGGTATGCAGGTGACCGTCTTTCTGTACGTAAATCGTATACCTTTTTCTTCACAGCTGAGGACCAGAGTTTTCAACAGTAAAACAAATAAGGAGACGGACTTGCCCTTGGACATTGAAATACATGTGGATGATGTGAATGACAATGCTCCGGAATTCATATCTGGCCTGAAGTACACTGTGCTCGAGCAAAGCAAAGCAGGTGAGGCCCATGAATGGTTTGACCCTCAGTGATGATAAACTAGATGACTATGTTTTAACTCACAGGGACAGAGGTGGGGAAGGTGAACGCTTCAGACAGAGACAAAGAAAATACCCTCCATGTCAAGATCAGGTATACTCTCAAGACTAGATTAGACCTGTTCGCCATAGACCCAGCGACTGGTGTCATCACCACAGTAACCAACACCCTGGACAGAGAGGTGAGCTCTTAATAATTTACACAGGAAGTCAACACAGAAATGAGATGCCTTGGACTTCTCTTTTGCATTCCTTTAGCACGTCATTTATCTTTCTCTCTCATCATATCGTCACATTCCTCTTAAGGTAAAAGACAAGCATGAGGTGATAGTGGAAATCAAAGATATGTTCGGTGCAGACAATGGGCTGTTCAAGACAGGAACGGCAACAATTACTGTGGGGGATATCAACGACAACCCACCTACCTTCACAAAAGCATCTGTAAGTGCTGCTCTTGAACAGACGCGTCTTGATGTCACATGTTTTGTCAACACACCAGGTGTGTTGAGCTTGTTATTGCTAAAAGATTGCTTTAAGAATCATGCTCTTTTTCTCCTCTTAGTACGAAGCCAATGTCAAAGAAAATGAAAAAGAAAAACTCATCCTTCGAATCCCTGTAGAGGACAAGGATTTAGTAAACACGGAGAACTGGATTTCAAAATTCATCATCACTAAAGGGAATGAAAATGGCAACTTCAGGGTCGACAGGGACCCCAAAACAAACGAGGGTCTTCTGTACGTCGCAAAGGTGAGATTGTTTCATACAATTTTTACTCTGATGATGATTGACACGATACATGTGCACATCTGATGAGCCTGAGTGAGTTGAAGGTTTCAAAACATCCAGTGACGTCAAGTAACACAACTGCGGACGTGTTGAAGCATCATATTGTTGTGATCTCCAAGAGCAACCACACTCAAATAATTTGCAGTTAAGAAACTTCCAGGGGTTGTGACATTCAGTCCTAGTAATCAATCGATCATGGCATGAGGGGATTACAACTATTTAATATGACATACAGGTGACTAACAGAGCCTTTACAACACATTTGTCTTTATAATACACCCCACCATTTTTTTCTCCAGCCCTTAAACTACGAGAAAAACAAAAATGTAAAGCTGGAGATCATGGCACGTAACGAAGCTGAGCTGAGCGGCACCAAGGCACAGTGGATGTCCATCCCTGTGGACGTCGCCGTCACCAATGTGGATGAGGGCCCAGAATTCACAGCTCCTACAATCCACTTCACCGTCAAAGAGAACCAGCCAAACGGCACGCTGATAGGAATCTACAAAGCCGTGGATCCTGAGACCAAGAGCAGCAGCGGCATCAAGTAAGTTACACCGGATAAATCCACCTCCCTGTGGTGCAACTAATAACACACAACTGGAGCTAATCCTCAGAACCACAACTATGTGGTATCTGAAACACTGGAGGGCAGACTTTGACTGGCTGACCTGAAGAATGTGCGGTTTTTCCACTGCTGTCTCTCAGGTACTACAAGGCCACAGACCCAGCCTCCTGGATCAATGTGGATAAAGTTACAGGAGAGCTGAGGGTTGCAAACACAATCGACAGAGAGTCCAACTTTGTAACCCGTGATGGAATTTACAACATCACCATGAAGGCTGTTGATGCTAGTAAGTGGCTTGTTACATGCTGTACACTTGGAGTCCAGACAGAAAATACCACAAGCTTAAATATATCTCAAGTCCATTAGATCTTAATGGATAAAGATATAACAGCCCACAACATTGTGCTGTTACCTATTTTTTTAATTAATATCTAATACCATCTTAGTAAGCTCACTGTCGCCTGTGGGTTGGGCAGTCATCCATAATATTGTCACTCATCAAACGTTGGTTTGGGAGCGTTTCCAGTTGACAATTCAAATCAAGAGACTACATGTTTGTCACATCTTTTGATGACATTGTCTCATCAGCCGAAGGTTCTTGAGAACGCCAGCCTCACCCTCATCAGTATCTGTCTGAACAAACAGCCGAGGCTTTGTCTTACCTGTGGACTGCAGGTGACGAGACTGGTGATTTATTGTGACTCACAGATATCTGGTTTGCTGTGGAGTCTGGGCTCTTGTCCCAGATACATAATTTGAATATTCCAGACAACCGACAGTAGTAGTAATCAACAGGCAATGCCAGAATGTAACCAGCATAGGTTTTTCCTGTTTTCGCACAGCACAGACTTGTCCAAATTTGTCCTGAAGAAATACTCATGTAAGACCGATGCATTTCAGGCTCCAAAACAGGCACAGGCACAGTCATCATCCATGTGGAGGATGTCAACGACAATGTGCCAACGGTCCCCGTCAGCGAGCTGTTATTATGCGAGAAGGAAGGGGAGCTGGGCTCGGTACTGGTTGTGGCTGAAGACAAAGACGCACCTCCCCTTTCTTCCCCTTTCACCTTTAGTTTGCCCCCTGACAACGACGGCACATGGACAGTGACGAGATTAAATGGTAGGTGGACATTTAAAAAAAAAATTTGTAATCTGTGTGATGAAGAAAGTGTTTAATAGAAACAGTTGGAATAATTTTAAAGGAAACATTTGCAAAATATTTACTATCGTCTCTTCTCAAAATAAACCACAACGTTGAACAAAAGCATCCCAGTGAAGGAGCCGTAAGCAGCTTATTTAGAAGCTGATTGTTCAGAGCTCTGATAATGAATTTATAAATGCTGATATCCACGCAGCAACACCACATAGTAAAAATTGTTTGTTACACGTAAAATCCCTGCATATCACATCAATGATGTAGCACTTTTGATTTCATAGAAATGTATTATTTCTATGAAATCAAACAATTAATACAGAATATAGTCAAATAGAAGTAGTGGAGTAATTTTTGTTGAAATTCACTGTATCTGTCCTAAAACTGTGAGCAGCTGTTGAGCTTGAGAAAGACTAACTCTTTTTTCTTTCAAAAAATTTACTCCAAAGCCACAACAGCGACTTTGAAGCATAACAAAGAACTTCCAACTGGGATCTACAGTGTTCCAGTGCACATTACAGATCTGCAGGGCTCTGGTGAAACACAGATGGTGCCGGTCCGGATCTGCCAGTGCAGGAGTGGAGTCTGCTTGGCCAAGGACAGATCAACATCATTTGGGGGCCTGGGTGTTCTGGCTATGCTGTTACCTCTGGCCCTCCTCCTACTGCTCTGTGAGTACCCTGCTGCTACGCTCCCGCCAGCAGAATTGTTCGGGCTGCACTGTGCAGAAAATGAGATAGGAGCTCTGTGCTCATGCATGAGTAAAAGTGCAGGAAGGGTGACAGAAAGTTTAAGATTCAGTGGCTGCTGACTTATGCATTATACATCACACACTACAACACCATTACGCTTCCTCTTGTCATGCCTTTCACACATTTTTTCAGTTGTTGAGCACTAATTTCCAACTTTCTAATTTGTCACAACAGGTTTACTCCTCGGCTTTTTCTGTATGACGAAGAGAGAGAAGTTCGAGCTTGAAGACACAGCAGACTACGGCGGAATCATACTCAAATCAAACACTGAGGGCCGAGGGGATGAAGTGGTAAGAACGGAATAATGAAAGACGATCAAGTGTGTTTTGTTTGTGACTGATAAAGGTTTGCAAAGTTGAAAGGTCTGCAGCAAAGTGAGCTCATGTCCCTCCCAGAGAACACTACTGTGGAAATGCCCTGTCAGTAGTTCGGTCAATACTGTGACATCACAATGCCGTACATTTGCATAATGCAGGCCGAGCACCTGGTCTGCCTCTGACTCAGAGGACTCTGATTATGAGCATAATTCTTTGCATTATTTATGTAATTGTTTTTTTGGGTTTTTCCACAGGATGTCAGTCTCATCCCTGTCCCCAACAGTGTAGTCGGAGAAATAACAAAGGGCTCAGTTAAGGAGTCTTTCAAGAATGCAGGATACCAGGGAGTAAAGAGCATGAGCACAATCGGAGGTCAAAGCATGAACGGATGGATGTCTGGAACCGACTTTCAGGGGCACTCTTCAAGCCAGTTCGATACTCTCGGAGGCCAGATGGTTGGAAGTGGCATGAACTTTGACAATAGACAAGTTGTCCAGGATTCAACTTTTCTCCACAACTGGGAAACCAATAGCATGTATCTATATAGGGTAATGTATTGTTTTACTTTTTAAGAATATTCATAGTGCAAAAAAAACTATTTTTTAAATTTATTTATATATATATATATATATATATATATATATATATATATATATATATATATATGAGTGGATGTAAGCACAAAAAGTGATAGAAAGAGGCAGAATTGAATGTGCTCAGATTCGTGCACCTCTGAGGTTTAATAACTTCTTTGTTATCTGTAAGAGCTTAGGTGACTCTCATGTGTAATGTAATCTTGTTCTCTAAAGCTCTGATAGTATCCTCTGTAAACTTTAATAAGTCTCAACTTCTCGGCGAGAAAGGCCTTTCTGGAATGAACTGTTTGTTTGCTGTGTATTATCTGACTGCCAGTCATATCCTGAGCAGCCTCGTATTATTACACAGTGTTGTATCTCCCCGTTCATTGGCAAGGGTGAGCACACTCAGAACATGCTTCCTCTTGTCTGGCAGAAACTGGGCTACCTGGGAACAGAGGAGGATGGACGCTACGCTGATGACATCGCTCACTCTTACGGGTTCGAGGGCGTGGGCTCCGCAGCCGGCTCTGTTGGCTGCTGCAGCGACTTTGACGACAGCGATAACCTTGACTTCCTAAACGCGCTCGGACCAAAGTTCAAAACTCTTGCAGACGTTTGTAAAAAGACATGAACAAAGGAGCTGAAATAAAGGTGTTTACTTTTCACCGTACAGCATCTAGAGCGAGGCCTGGGATCTGAGTGCTCGATAACGCCCCTGAACGTGAATGGAAAAAAAGAACAGACAGGCAGGCTACATCAGTCTGTGCATACACTGCTCTGCTATAGCTTTTTGTTTTGTTTAGTTTTTTAAGCTTTTCTTAGCTTTTATTTTGGTAAGAGTCTTTTGCACTGAGAACTAATATGTATATAATATGTATTAACATGTCGCTTGGCTTTACAGGTCATGAAGCTTGTTGTAGTGATACATGCAATGAAGGGCTGTGGGGTTTTCTAATTAATTGATAACAAATGTGGGTATTTTGGCTATCATTCATAATTTCTGTTAACAGTGTATCATACAATTTTGCATTTGTGAGGCTGCTTGTTGGCTAAATTGGATAGTTTTGATATATTTTTTAAAGAGAAATAAATAACTAAATGAAATATGACACTTATTAGACACACACTTTTTTTTTTGACATTCCTCTCATATTATAGTTGACACACAATTAATGTTTAATGACTTCCACTGGTTTTTTAAGTACAGTACATATCTGGCGCCTTGTTGTCGTTCGTGGTGGTGAACTGTGCGTAACTTCAGGCTTGGCTGTCCCTGAGGTTATTGCAACATACTGGCAGTAATCCTGCCAGCACAAGGGTGTGACCGGGTGGAGTGAGGCGTCACCGACATCGCCTGCAACTGCCTGCACGTGATGTAAAGAAAGCTAACCAGTTCAGACAAATGCTCTCATAATGTGATAAAATTCATTTGACATTCCCCTGCAGGCATTCGTGTGTGTTTGTGTCTGTGTGTGTGCGTATGTGTGTGTGTATTCAGCTGTTAAATCTGTAATCATGCATTGTCATTAAAGAATGTGTCTCGGTGAAGTTTTTACATACTCCTATTTAGTTGCATACAAGCTTAATTTAAAGGAAAGATAATTAAAAATAAGATTTATACAAGTGAAAAAGTTAAACTGTAACTTAGCCACTGAACATTCACTAAATGATTTAGTCACAGCGTTACACCCATGTTTTCTTTTATTAAATAAAGCTTCATTGTGCTGTTATGACTGTAGACCAGCACCTCAGAGCAGAATCAGTTGTGCGCTGTGCGCCGCCTCTGTTTGTGTTCTCTGTGAATGATTTATAAGGTGTGGAACTCTGAGCTTGCACGTTACAAAGGGCACAATGCTGCACCTACTGCCAAACTCCACCCTGTAGCTAATATTTACCTCCAGCCTTCTGGAGAAAGTGTTGCTCTGATTTCTTCCCCCTTCCCAAAATGATTTAACCCTGTCAGCAGCAGTTGCCGTAAAATTTAGTGAGATAATTATCTCCGTCAAGTAGGTGTTGTTTGTGTGGAAAAACTACCAAAAAAATAATGAATCTAGGTGCACAGACAGATGGGCCTGTTGTGAAGCTATTGAACGTTCCATTAATCAGATCGTAAAACCACTCCCCTGTTCTCTTTTATAGTTTTATGATAAGAACTAGATAATCATGTGTAGGATCATTCGGCCTCGGTGGATTCTGAGTGACACTCTAGTTAACTCAGCCAAGGAGGTTATGTTTTCATTTTGTTTGTCTGTTAATAAGCAGTATTACAAAAAAACTGCTGGAATAATTACCATGAAATTTGTTGGAAGAATGTGGGTCAGGAAAGTTTGGAGCGGATGCAGGTGAAGGGGCGGATCCAGGAAATTCTGTTATATGACACCGCTCCCTTTTTTCTCTTTATAGTTCTTTATAGTGTTCGGCCTTTGGAGTAGGGATGTGCTCACTCAGAGACATTCTCTGCCAAGGAGGTCATGTTTTCAATTTTAACTGGATTATGCAAAAAGAACTGGACTGATTACCAGAACATTTGGTGGAGGGTTGCAGAATGAGTCAGTAATCCGCAGGTCTATCAGGGGCCAGATCCAGGAACTTTTTGTTTTTTTGTCAGAAAATAATTAATGATTCTTGATTTTAAAAAATTGGGCATGTTTAGGGGAGGTAGATCTAATTAATTCTTTACAACATATTCAATATGGTGAAATTCTGCAGATAACAAACATAGCTATATAATTTAATATAATATGCACAGACCTTCATAAATAACTAATACAGTTTAACAAATGTATTGAAATCCTCCATGAGTTATTATTATTCATAACTTATTACACTTAGGCAGATTATTGATTATTCATTTATAGAAAATGTTTAATATGAACTAGCATTGGAGCAAGCAAACAATTCCCCTTTTTTCTGATGACATGCAAATCATGCATCAGTTTGATGAATTATGAATTTGAAGCTGGAAATATAATTACAGGGTCTAGAAGGGACCATCTGTCATGTGATTGTGGTGACGAGTATCAAAGATGACGGCAGAGAGTGGGGGGAAAAAAAAGGGGAAATTAAATCTTGGAATGAAACCGGTCCCTCGCTATGATGAAACACTGAAATCTTGTTCAAACTACAACAATATTATGTGCACAGATTACAATGATACTGTCAGGAGTATGGGGGGAGGAGAACAAGTTGTGAACATCAAGGGTTTTTCTTTTTTTTTTCTCAAAATCCCACTGGGGCCAATTAGGAGAATCTTGAAAAGTCACATAACTCAGAATAAGGAAACTAAGCAGTTAACCCAAATATCTAAAGAAGGCAGTCGGAACAAAGACAGCAGCCTTATCAACAATATCACCAATTCATAGTCTCTTTCTTTTTCCTTTTTAATTACGATTCTGTGCAGAAATAATAGCTTGTCTGACTGCTACTCAAGAAATCTGAAATAAAGAGCTCCAATGATTCAAATCGTTGAGCATTTCACATGAATTTTTAACCAAGAGCCAGACATTTAATATGTTGCAGACCCTGGAGGAGGTCACGATCTGTGTTGTGTTGTGACGTTTCTGACCGAGGAGGTGGTCAGGGTCACGACTCAGCATCAACACCTCTCGAACAGCAAGAATCGTTTGACGCACAGTTTATTTACAGGCACTTGCCAGTCGCTGAGTGTGAAATGTATCAAGTAAGTTCAAACTGAAACGTTGGGTGGGGAGAGATTGACACAGCAGCAGCAGATCGTGCAGGATAAAACCTCATTTAGGCCTCACGCTTTCACCAAACTGAATTTATGTTTTCACACAATACCACGTCTATAAACATAGTTACAAGAAATCTTTGAGTGAAGTCCCAACGCACACAACAGCACGCTCAGCTGTCCTAACATATGGCGTGCGTCGTGGGAGCTGCATGACAAAAATACCTTGGCAGCGATCAAAACGACAAACAAACCAGAATTCCAGATCATTTCTTTGGGGATCATCAGGTGCGTCCTCATGTAAAAGCAATGGCGGCGATAAGCCACATAATTCAATAGACCACTTAGTGTGTCCACTCTTATCAGAACTGCTTGAGCCATCACTTGCAGTCACTTCTGTAAAGATGCAATTAATTCTAAAGCAGAAGCGTGAAATTAATTTATTGCTTGTAATTAGTTTTCGGCATACTGTGAAAACAATCTTTCCAGATAGGGCGTTTTCACCCTCCACCAGAGTGTCTGAGGACACTTAGCTCCATCTGAGTTCAATATGGAGCGGTGCATTCAGCTGCCAGGAATGTGGCGTCGCAAACTTCTTCTTCTTAACCCCCTGTTGACTTGGCCTCGGGATTTATAGTTTTAAGTGGCACGTGTGAGATATTTTAGTTGCAATCAACGCACATGACAAAGTAATTTCTTCACGGTGTGTCTTGGGAGAGCACGAACCAGGTCATGTATATATGGAATTTAGGTTGGTTTGTGAATAATTGAATCACTGACAGTGCGTGTTAATGGATGCAACAGGCCTCGTCGGAATCATTGTGATGCATTTGTGAAAAGAAAGCGCGGCGACGCATTGTGTCAAATGATTCACGTGTCACTAATCATGTATGCTTCATTAACACTTCTCCTCATGGAGGGGCTCCTCTGGATGCGAGCTGTTGTTCTGCTTAGTGCCACTAGGTGTCACACTTACCTCTCGCCTGAGTGTACACCTCCTCATGGTGATGCTGTATCTGAGGGTGGGGGTATTTATAGCAGATAGCTAATTTCAGGCAAGACACTCTCGCTGCCTGTCACACGTACAACAAAACACCTGAAATCACTTGAATGAAGCTGTGAAGCCGCCGCAGCGCAGTTAAATTGGAGTGATGTGACGAGCTGTGGCAGGAGCCTTGTCTTGCTTCCATGTGGCATATGGTGGTGTGCACAGTTATCACATGCTCTCAGTCCCCTTCACTGATATTTGGTGTAACTTATCTAACAAGATCAGGTTCAGACATCGCACCTCCGCGCTCACTACGACTATAAAGTCCTCACCTCTCTCTGCACAGCAATAAAAGATTATTTTAAAAGTCACACTTTAAATAATGAGAATATTTACCCGGCTGGCTTTCACACCTCAGAGAGGGATTACGTGAAGCTTTTGTCTTTCAAAGAAGCAGCGTTTTATTTAGGTTCATCGAAGACGTTGGGAACAATCTGCAGGATGTGAATTCAAAGCATATTAGCATGAAAGTAATGTGGCATTTCTGGTAACAACACCACCTAATACTAAATATAGATTATAATTAACAGAGGAAGAAAAAGGGTGGCTGATCTTTTATAATTCATATGTTATATTTGGTTCTGCTGTCATCACACCGCCCACTCCTAAAGAGCCGTTTGGCAGAGTGTACTGTACCTTTAAACTCCTCATACATTAACTATGCAGGAGCTTAAATTACTTGTTACATCGTTCACTCGAGTTATTGTGTTTCTCTCTGGAGTCGGCGTCCATATGATTCGCACTCGGCTAAAATGTGCGCCGTACACGTTAATTAGATAAATCTGTTTCATGGTGGAAAAGCCTCAATGTGACATCTGCGTCGTAATTAGACAAAAGGCTTCAAGTGAAACAGTCAGTAAACAGTCTAAAAGAATATGTGGTAGATTCATTAATTCAATTAAAAGCCACAGATAACAGCTGTAGAGATCTACATACAATGCAGTACTCACTAGTCGTCATTTTTTCCACAGTCACACAATCATTCTCTCACAGATCATAGATACCATTATGTCTCCAAAAAGGCTGACTCTCTTGAACATAGCCTGAATAAATACGTCATTGTTCTCCCTGGATTCAAGTGTGCATGTTGAGGAGTGTGCATGTTGAGGAACAGAAACCTTTTACTGTGTAGTAACCAGCGGCACAGAGACATGAAGTGAAGCACACACACGGTAAAAGCATATTATGTTAGTTCTGACCACTTTTCTTCCTTGCAGATAGCAGCAAAAAATATCATGTAATTATAGAAAAGTAAAAGTGAGATGAAAAGTTTGACTTTACTCTTATTTTTACCCTGATACAGGCATAGCCGGGAGCAGGGTAATGTTTTTGTCCTTGAGTTGGTTAGTGTGCATGTACCAAATAACTCGAACACACATGGGCACATATTCACCAAAGTTGGTGAGGGAATAACTTTGGAGAGCGTCTCCAGATGATAAACTATTGGAGCTAATCGGTCAAAGGTCAAGGTCGACAAAAGTGTGGTCCAAACACCATATTTTCCAAGATATCCACACAGATAATAGAGAAAGCTTATACTGATCATGTAAATGATGTCATGAAGGAACTAAGAGGTCACAAAGGTATCTTTGCATCTACCAGAACTATCGACATGACCCTAAAACTGAATATAGATGGAAAAATAATTTGATGATAATATGGTAGAAATCACAGAGTGTTGTAATGCACTAAATGCAACCAATAACATTAAAGACACAATCCACAGCTTATTTAGACAAATTTAGACATCATGATGACGTCATTATGTGACGCAATCTCCGCTGAGGAGGGCATGTTATCTTCTGCATT